GATAAGGGGTATATTAGATTTGTGATAAACGTGGATGTGTGTAACGCAGAGAAGGAAACGTTTCCGACCCCATAAAGTATATATATTCTTGATCAGCATCAATAGCCGAGTCGATAGAGCCATGTATGTCTGTCCGTAGTAACCATTAAAAAAAAATCATAATTCGTTAAAAATTTTTAAACCCCGAAATCTACGAGATAAAATTTATTTTGGGCCTCTGCCTTATTGTCGTGTTGACTAGTGTAATCGAGCGTACGGTTTAAAAGATAAGCTAAAATATGACCTGAAGTTGCGTTGCAAAACTCTGCGTATTGGGTAGGTCTATCTTTATACTAATTTTTTTTGAATGCATATGAAATATGTAGTGCTCATTTTCAAAATTATTTAATGCAAAAACCTTTCCTATTTTTTTGCTAAAAGTCCGCGGAGGCATCTGACGAGCTTTACTGACTTGATTTTACCCTGGAGTACTGTTAGCCGAGATGGGATACATTTTCTGGTCATTTTTTTAGGTAGTTCAATATGTTATAAAGACTTTGAGGAAAAATTTTTATCCGTCTTGTTTCTAGGAGATAATAGTAAAAAAAAAACATGACTATAAAATAACCAAAAATACCGAAAACGAGAGTTTTAGCTTTAATGTTTTTGGCCTAGTGGACCTTTTGGTGGAACTGCCCATATAAATGATTCGGCCACAAGAAAACTCTGTCATTTGCCTTGGTCCCGGCATCACGCATGAATGGCTGGGCCGATTTCGCCAATTCTTTTTTTTGTGTTTGTTATTGTCAGGAGAAGGTTCTTATGAAAGAAAAAATTAAGAAAATTGCTCGAAAAATTATAAAATTTAAGAATACTCGGAAAATGTTAGTATTGTTGTGTGAAGTAGGTCTTTCCATTTCTGTCAAACGCCTGCTTGATTTTATGTATCAAAAAATAAATTCAGCCGGTTTAGAGTACAAATGAAATAAATCAGTTTAGACCGATTTTGCTAATTACATACATTTTTTATCTGTTTTGAAAATTGGTTTGTTATCATCCTTAATGTATATATAGAGAATCTGTATACAGATTAATAAAGATGCTGCACAAGAAGATGGTTTTCAAATATGAATGAGGAAGAACGGGAATCCGTACGAGAGATAATAACATGAAGAATCCATATGCGGGAGACGGAATAGGAGTCGATCAACTGAAGATGTCGGAAACGGGAATGGAATATTGTGTATTTTATACCCTCCAGTTTTTGGAAAAACATTTATGTTGAACGTATTATTCGACTCACTTCTCTTCCATGTGAAACGTGACCGGGTACAAATATATATAGTAACATATCCATAATGCCCTACACCCACATACGCATTACGTATACGTTAAGCACTTGGCATATTCATAACCACACCCACACCTATACACGTTATGCATATGCCCAGCACTCACCCATACACCTATGTATTCGTATCTATATGAAATAAGATAAACATATGAGAAGATACCCCAACAGCTACATAAACAAAGCATGATTCGACCAAACCGAAATCAACAGGAAATCTCATGCAACCCAAAACTCTGGAATGCAATGGAACGTCGCTGACCAATACGTTATCAGCTCATTCCCACACTCCATCATATCACTAATTCAGAATCAGTCCCACACTCCAATAGAAGGGAGAACTCTTGTAAACAAGTGAGTTCTCAAGATGAAAGCCGACACCAATCACCTGCTGCGGCCGCCTGTTTCATCCAAGCCGACGCATCTCCCAAGCCTCCCACACATAGGCCAACGCATCGCTTATCAGCCACTCTCACCAAAACAACGCCTCTCGCAACCGAAGCTTCGACTTTTTCAGCCGAAGCCATCACAACTCAATTACGAAGACAAAATATCAGCCGAAAGCTTAAGTTGATAAGCTTTAAGCTTCCCAACAGAGGTCTCAAGATCAATAGCCCGAGAATAAGAAGACAGTTCCGTTTGAGACTTTCTAAAATTGAGTTGGGGAATTCATTATCATATCCTATGTTCTAATATAAGTTCGATTAAATAAAACATCCTTTTTAAAAAATTAAGTTTTAATTTTTGAGTTGCTTCCCCCACCTCCGTAGAGCTCGCTCGCACACACTCTGCCCTTTGCAGTGCGTGACCTGGATGACAGGTTTAGTAAAAAAATGTAAAATGTCAAATTTTTTAAAATAATACATAAATCATAAGCTCACATATTTATATACTGACTGTGTACGGGTATAAAAGTAGAGTCGTGGCATCAGAAGCGACTCACAAGTTTCTTCTCGTTTGAACTCAAAATTTTTGCAAATTTATTTTATGGGCGATTCAGCAAGACAAGTCGATCAGCGTTGTGCACACAACAATTCAGTGAAAAGACCAATTGGGAAACAACTCCAAACGTTTTTCCATCAACATAACGAATTGGTTGCATAATTCACGACCGCATTGGATCGCATGCCGTCTGATAACCACGGAATTGTCGTCAGAGCTGATAAGACGCTTGTAGGAGAACACGCGAGACGTTTTAATGCGCCAACAATTGCCGAAGTTGCTATTGTCGTCGTGGGTGAAAATTTAGTAAACCGAGATATTGTTTTACAATGGCGTGGCAATCAACTGCAGCGTTTATTCGAAACACATCGATCATATGAAGGTTACAACATCCTATCTTATTTTGGCAAGGTGAAGATGGGTATTATTATTGAATGAATTATTATTCATACAGAGTCTGTATTACAGATTGATGGTTAGGGAAAAGGAGGACAATCATATATTAAAATGTCGGGGTCTCTTCCACCAATATGCTGTGGATATTTACATGAAAGATTAAACGGAGCGATTGACATTTATCAGGTTGAACCAGGCAAAACTGCGTCTGAAGAATACATTCATCTTCGGGATGCTATCAATGCTGACGGAAATGCACAGAATGTAGGTAGAGCAACTATTCTCCCAGAAACATACGTCGGAAGTCCGCGACATATGCATGAATACGCTCAGGATGCTATGTTGTATGTACGTCATTATGGCACACCAGATATGTTTATAACGTTCACATGCACATCCAAAGTAGACAGAAATTATTTCATGGCCAAAAAAAGTTAAAATCACTCATGGATTACATTGTTAAGCATCGTGTATGCGGCGAAACGCGCTGTTGGATGTATTCAGTCTAATGGCAAAAACACGGATTGCCACATGCACACATCCTCATTTGGTTGGTAGAGAGAATAAGACCGGTGTTCAGTCGCATATTTATGAAATAATTAATATTACATAATATACACTTATCGAATAAATCAGGTCGACCCATGTAACGGGAGACATAATAACAAACGACAAAGCATTGTAGCTGAGTCAACAATAACCGCTTCTGCAGCAATTTCTGCCAATGATGTGTTCGCTCTTCAGAGGGCAATAACACTGCTGCAATTGCTGACTATCACAATTGCCCAATAACACAATATCATATTAAATCCAAATTAATTCAATATCAATTCCCTTTTACCATATTCTTACTAGACTCAGCACTTTCCGTACCTATTGTTACCTATAAATAGAATTTAAGTTTGTTGAATAAAATCAGTATCAGAAACAGTACCATCACTGCCTGTTCACTCATTCTCTACAACTGCAATCAACAGGGGCTGTCGCCGTGTCTTCAGACCCTCATTTGCTCGACGTAGGAAACCCTCTCCGCAGTCCAACTGGTTCAAGTTTTAGTTGCGACGACAAATTTGTAAACGGTTTATGTACCGTATGCATACCAAATCACACACACACACAAACACACATTAACAACCGGATATAGTCGAGGATGTGATGTCTACGGAAATTCCTAATAATGATGAATATCCATTGTTATATGAGATTGTTACAAAAAAAATGATTCATGGTCCCTGTGGAACATTAAATCAAAATTCTCCGTGTATGGTGAATGGAAAATGTTCAAAACGCTTTCCAAGACAATTAGTAGCAGAAACTATTAGTGGAAATGATGGTTACCCACTTTATCGCAAGCGATCCACTGACGACTACGGAAGAACAACAACAGTCAAAGTGTATCAGCATGACATTGAAGTTAATAATCGTTGGATTTTTCCGTTATCGCCGTTACTCTCCAAAACATTTAAAGCACACATAAATGTAGAATATTGCCACTCCGCAAAATCTATTAAATATATCTGCAAGTACATGAAAAAAGGAAGTTTTCGGAGTTGCTGCCGAAATTCAAACGAATTCAGTAGTAATGAGGCGATGTGGCGTATTTTTATACCCGTACTCAAAAAAGAGTTAAGGGGTATATTCGATTTGTAACGCAGAGAAGGAAACGTTTCCGACCCCATAAAGTATATATATTCTTGATCAGCATCAATAGCCGAGTCGATATAGCCATGTCTGTCTGCCGCTGTCTGTCCGCTTGTTGACGCCCCAGAACTAAGAGCTAGGGCAACCAAATTTGGTTTCCAGACTCATGTGATATCACACTGCTACAAAGGTGTCTCAAAATTTCTCCCCGCCCCCTTCCGCCCACACAAAAGACGAAAATCTGTGGCAGGCACATTTTTAAAGATACGATAAAACTAAAAACGCAGTATCGTAGAGAATGCCCATATCTACCAGACTGCCGAATCTGAATTAGATCGGATCATAATTATAGCCAGAATGAAGAAATTAATTTTTAGTTTTTCCCCTGCCCCCTCCAGCCAACGACAACACAACACATTTTCCATCTCGCTCGCACACTCTGCCACGTTGAGTGCGCGACCAACCCCTAGCGGAGGAGATGTAGAATCTAAATGGTACATGTATAATCTACATGTTAGATGTAGAATATACATAATATATGTAGATGTAGATAACAGATGTAGCAAAAAAATGTAAGATGTAAAATTTTTTTTTATAATTCTAAAATTCTAAAAAATCATATGCTCAAAAATGTATATACTGACTGAGTACGGGTATAAGTAGAGTCGCGTCCCGAGAAGCGACTCGCACTTTCCTTCTCGTTTCATTTCCAATACATGAAAGATACCCCACTGTTGTTCATTTGGCCGTAAATCTGGAAAATGGTGAAAGGGTGTACTTTACAACGATTAACGTATTACAACGAATTGAGAGGCCGCCATCGACAACATTGACCAGCTTCATTGAAATGTGCCAGAATGATGACTTTACAAGAACACTTACAATTCCGAAATGCCACGATATTATACCTGGAATCAATCATTAAAGAAATTTCAACGACGAAAATAAGGACAGCCAGTTCCAAATTACCAACAAGTATTTTCCACAGATGCACTAGGACGACTTTACACAGTGTATCCCAGCCAAAACGAGTGTTTTTATTTGCGTTTACTGTGAGTCAATGTTCATGGCCCAACATCATTCCAACATCTGCGAACTGTTAATGGTGTATTGTGCGGCACATGCAGAGAAGCATGTCAACGTATGGCCCTGCTCGAGAATGACATTCATTGGGACCACACTCTCGAAGATGCTGTGATTTCGTCAAATGCTAACAAAATACGAACATTGTTTGCCATACTTTTGTCTACATGCTTCCCATCAACACCGATTGATTTATGGAGCAAATATAAAGATCACATGGCCGAAGATATATTACATCAGGAGCGTGTTAGAACCTTAAATGATAATTTGCAAATAAATGAAGAAATGCACAATAAAGTATTCATTTTAATTGAAGACTTGATGCTTGCCAACAAAGTATCAATAAAGTTAGGAATGACAACGCCCAATCGACAAATGCTCGACGCATTTCATCAAGAGTTGAGACGCGAAACGAAATATGATTCCGAAGCATTTAAAAGATACCGTTGAAATAAACGTTCCTCTTTTAAATGAGCAACAAAAATATGTCCACTGTACGCTAATGAAAGTAGTGAACGATGTAACTGGCGGATTTTTTTTTAGATGCTCCCGGTGGGACTGTGAGAACTTTTTTGATATTATTGATTTTGGCAACGCAAAATGGTATCGCACTTGCACTTGCTTCGTCAGGTATTGCAGCTACGTTGTTGGAAGCTCATTTCACACTCAAGCTTGCGTTGAACATGCATATAAATGAAACACCAACTGGCAACCTTTCAAGAAATTCTGCGATGGCCAAAGTGTTGCAACAGAGCAAATTAATAGTTTGGGATGAGTGCACGGAGTGCATTGGAAGCATTAGACCGCACGTTGCAATATTTCCGAAAGAACCAAACCCGGTTTGGTGGTGCACTGATTTTATTAGCAGGCAATTTTCGCCAAACACTACCAGTAATACCACGATTAACACCAGCCGACGAACTTAACGCATGTTTAAAGTCATACGTTTTATGGAAAGACTTTAAAACGCTCAAATTAAGTATAAACATGCGAGTCGAATTGCAGAACGAGCAATCTGGAGAAGTTTTTTCCAAACAATTGCTAGATATTGGTAATGGAAAAATACCTGTTGACTCATTGTCTGGATACATTTCCTACCAATTTTTTGTAACTTTACTGAAACAAAGACACAACTCATCTAGAAGGTTTTCCCAAACATTGCTCAAAATTTAAAAAATCATGTATGGTTGAGCGAAAGAGTTATATTGGCTGCAAAAAACGTTGATGTCAACACGAAATGAATTTCCAAATTCAAAATAATATAGCTGGCGAATTAATAACATACAAATCAATTGGTTCCGTTACTAACCAAGATGATGTTTTAAACTATCCAACGGAATTTTTAAATTCGATGGAATTGCCCGGACTACCACCTCAAAATCTGCAACTAAAGATCGGATTGGTAATTATTATGTTGCGGAATATAAACCAGCCACGTCTTTGTAATGGCACCCGACTTGCGGTGAAGAAGTTAATGAACAATGTCATCGAAGCCACAATTTAGAAAGGGAATATAAAGGAGAAGACGTTTTGATTCCACGGATTCATGCCATTCGACTTTAAACGGTTACAGTTTCCAGCGAGGCTAGCATTTGTAATGTCGATAAATAAATCTCAAGGGCTGTCGCTAATTGTTTGTGACATTAATCTTGAAAATCAATGATTTTCGCATGGCCAGATATATATGGCGCCTGTTCCCGGGTCGGAGTACCAACCAAACTATATACGCGCCAGAGAAAAAAAAAACAAAGAATGTTGTTTATCATAAAGCATTACAATAATAAACACTTTCTTTCTGAAATATTTGTTAGTTAATTATACCAATTCGAAATCAATATTTATAGTTAAGACAGCACAACGTCTATCGGGTCCGCTAGAAATGATTTTCATGTGGAACAAACGGATAAAAAGGCGCAGCTGAACAATTAGTTTACTGTCGGAAAATCGACAGACGTGTGGAGACGAAGGATGTCGATAGCTTGAATTCCATTATTCAAGATCAAATCGCAGGAGAGCTGCATTCATACAATACAATTCATACAATCTATGATAGTCTGTTGGTGTTTCGTATACAGAGCTAGCTTTTCTACTGATAGGGCTCTCTGTCAAAGCTATAAACAAACGCAGTTAAAAACCTAAACACAGTTAGCTTTATCAAAGCAATGAAAGCTTAAACACAAAGAAACGAGATAAACACAGAGAGACAAGATAAACACAGAGCTTTAGCCGGGAACGGAGAGGCGACAAACAGAGAGCGTCAGTGCAAGTATGTAGGAAGAATGGAAAGAACGGAGATAAAAGTAGAGAGCGGCTCAGAGAGAGTGCATCGAGCAAACGTCAATAACAACACAGCGAATACAGTGAATACGAATGAACGGAAGAAATGAGAAAGACCGATTGACTTTAAATATGAAATGAATTTGGGTTTGGGTTGGGTTTGAAAGCTTAATATCTTCCAGGCGTTAAGCTGCAGTTACAACATGTCTGGGTCGGGCTTATAGCTGCATTTGACAGCTTTTAAGAACTGCAAAGTTCTATGAAACCTGATTTAAGATACTTAAGTTATGTAAAAAATAAAAACACTACCTTTGAAAAAAACACATTAAAAAATACCAGCTTCCACAGAAGCGACTCAACGTTCCTTCTCGTTTATTTTTGTGGTTAGCAATGATGTTCGGGAATACTTTGCTGATAAGCAGTCTTTCGAGCGCAATTATCCAAACCGTTAATGTTTTAATGTTAATGTGTTTAATAGTTATTTTGCTATTCTGGACTGAGACAAACTCAAAAATCAAAAACCATGAAAATCAGTCCAGCCATTCTTAAATCGCGATTTTCCGAGCCGTGATCGCCTTCTTCATAGTTTTTCCCAGCTATTCTGTTAACCTGGATGGAGAAAAATTCCCCAAATCAAATACCATGAAAATCGGTCTATCTGTTCTAAAATCGCGATTTTCCAAGACGCGGTCGCTTTTTCCATACCTTTTTTTTTTTTATTCTATTAACCTGGATGGTGACAAATTCAACAACTCAAATACTATGAATATCGGTCCAGCCGATCTCGAGCTATAAGCGATTTAACGGACACGACTTTGTTTTACACATATATAGATTTAAAACATTGATTAAATTTAGTAGACGCACTCACAAAAGACCACGCTTTAGTTTTTTCCAAATAGATTACCCAACGCAATCGTCTCCCAAAAACTGTCCAATGTCCCAGGTAAGGTGATCGGGGTGCACCGGTACCGTGGGAAAGGAGTTTCGTTGGAACTTCGTGAATACACTTTTAGGAATATTTATTTATTTTTTAATATTATTTTAGGAAATTATTGCGTAAGCCCCCTTGTGCCAGTGTCCTGTCTTTTGGCATGTCTGAGTTTTCGTTTTTTCTGGGTGTTGATCTCGTCATTTGAGAGCTTTGGTTACTTGGTTTTGCTGCGGTGGGGGCTGGTTATATAATCTTGGCCAGCGCCTTTCCATCGATTGGCCGCGCGTGTGATGATTTCTGGCTTTCTTTCTTTCTTCGGTAAACTTCTTTCTTTCTTTCGACCTGTGCTGCGTCTTCGAATTTGTTGGTGTTGATATCTCCACCTGGGAGTAGCGTTGGTTGCATCGACTGCTTGTGACAAACCATGGGATCCATGGTTCGTTACAACACTCACGTGGGTTCCGGGTCACACCGACATAGCGGGCAACGAGAGTGAGGACGAGTGTGCCAGAACTGGATCGGCCAAGCCAGTTATCGGCCGCATGGGCACAAGGTATAAGCTGCCCCGCAGCTGTAGGGACGAGGAGAAAATAGAGAGCAACCAGCACCTTCTCTGCAACTGTCCTGCACTCATGGGGAGGCGTCACCGAATACTCGGCGGCGCCTTCTACGAAGACCTGGACAGTCTGGCAAACATGCCTCTAGTCGTCGAACTGCAAATGTATATTGAATTCGGCGCGCCGAATGCTTGTGCATTCATATATTATTGATTCCTTTAATTTTTTTTGTAATGGGTTGTTAGACTCACTTTTTATATTATTAAAGAGATTTTCATTTCTAAAGGCCAATCTTTTGCATATTTCATCTCGGTTGTAACGACGCTGTAATGAGAAGATAATCAAAAGTTCAATTAAAAAGATAAATCTGTAAATCACAGTATACTCATACCCCTTCAATGCGTTCGATCATTACGAATCCTACCGTCAGTTAGATCACTAACCATACAGTATATAGATGTGCCAGTTCATACAACGAAAGGGGCGCAGCTGAGCTTGCAGCGAACGTTCCCAGATCTTCGGCTTTGGGAATGGCCGCGTTCGGCTCTGGGAATGGCCGCGTTCGGCTCATGACGTCACACGAGCCGACTGGCAGCAAGCATGCATGTGTTGTGTACGTGTACACTCCAAAATATATGATTATATGCATAGAATAATTTTTAGCTGCCGAAACCGACGAAGCGGTTCATAAAATATTTTTTCGTTTTGTTTTGAAAAGCTGATGTTGCGACGGGCGCGCGGTTCTCTTTTAGGCTAGCCTTTGCCTCTGCTTTCGGCTTCGTCAATGCCTCAACCCGCGTCGAGTCGAGCGACAGAATACACCAAGAAAATATTAAGTCTTACGACGGGAATAGGTCCAGGGCCGGATTAGCAGTTGCCTAGGGCCTCCTAGGGATAAAGAAAAATTTTGTTGAAAAAACAAAACTCCAAATAATGAATAAAAAATATAATAGCTACTGAGAAAAATACAAAATAAAGGAGGGCCCCAGATTGATGGTTTCCCAGGGCCCGGTTGAGGTTGATCCGGCCCTGAATAGGTCGCTACATCACATCAGCCCTCAAAACAAAACGAAAAACCAATTCAAGCGGCCAACAATTGTAGAGCCCACACACAAGCACAGTATGTGTGAATACATGGCACA